GTTGTGCATATAAACACATAGAATCTGTAAAGAATGCTTCACATGATCCCATTTCAGAATCGAGCATGGTGCATCAGCTCCACCACCACCACCAGAAGAAGAGCGCCAGTTTCTGGTGTTCGAGAGCTGCCTAAGGGAGCTTTTCAAGACGTGCCAAGAGTGCTCAAGACTGTGCCAAACAACGATCGAAACTACCGGCACACTGATCACAGTCTACAGCATCTGCCCTGTGGAGCACGTGCGCACATGGAAAAGCCAGCCCATCGTCAACGGCAGACCAGCAGGGAACATACTGCTGACCAGCCACCTGGTCTTCTCTGGAGTGAAGATTGCCCCTACGCTGCGGATGCTACGCCATATGAACGTGCAGGTCATCTCCGACTCGAGCTTCTACGAGCATCGGAAGGCCTTCGCTTTACCTGCAATCCACAAGGTGAGCAATATTCCGGGACACTGCAACTGCATTTTTTTCCCATATACCCAATTTTCCAATGAGGTACAAAACTGGAGCCCCAGTCACACTTCGGTTAAATGAATAAATATCTTCTTGTAGTATGCCACTTCAATGGTATAGTGCTAAGAGATAAAATTTTATACATCATGTTACATATGTGCCATGGGCTACTAAATCCACGATACTTTAATTTATTTCTGCTATGTGTAGTATCCTGGGGCAGTTCCCTGTCTGGCATTGGGTTGAGTGAGTCAGGTTCCCCGTGAGAGTCAAGAGACAGAGGGTGGTTGTCAGAATGGAAAAGGGTAGGGCAGCTTCGAGGTAACGGGCGGCCTGCTGCCTCTTTTATGAAATACACAAACATAAAAACACAAATCACAACCTAGCACAATCTAAGTCACATTCAAACTCGCTGCATTGTGCTTTCCTTTTTCTTTCACTCAGTCATTCATTCTACAACACTACACTATGCATACATAAACAGATGGGACTATTGTAGTATGCTCCATGCCTTTCTAAAGCAATATTTATCTGCATGAACAGGTCTGGCTGCAAGAGCAACAAGAACTTCTCAACGAGTTGCAGAACAAAGAGGTGGACATCTCTGCTGACGGGAGATTTGACTCCCCTGGGTTCTGTGCCAAGTACCTGACGTACACAGTCCACGTCGAGCAAATCAACAAGATTCTACACTCTGTCCAGGTCCAGCTAAAAGAGGCAAGTAGTCGAATTTACGTGAACCAGTTGCAACAATCTCATAATCTTTCTCTTGTGTTATGTCATCAGTTACTTCACTGCTATGCACTATTTTGGTAAAATATTCATTTCACACCTTTTTTTAGTCTGAACAGGCCATGGCCAGTGTCAACATGGAGAAGGAGGGCCTCCTCAAGCAGCTGCAATTCTTCAAGGAGAAAGGTATGTTCATGCTTAGTTCATGTATATCACTACTCGGCGGCCTTTCAGGCACTCTGTTCAAATTGGCATAATCACTTATTCTTTTGCTATCTTCGGAAACCTAATGGTGCAGGTATCAAGATCCGATCGTTGGTGACTGACCGTCACCCTGCCACACGAAAGCACATGAAGACGCACGAACCCGGGATTGACCACTTCTTTGACATATGGCACATCTCCAAAAGTAAGCAATCCTAACAGGCCATTCGTGTAGCCTTTATTTTCCAGCGATCACGCTGCAGGTTTCCCTGACACGACTCTGAATTTTAGGTGTGAAAAAGAAGCTGACAGCAGCAAGCAAACGGGCTGGATGCCAAGACCTGCAAATCTGGATCCAGACAGCTACAAACCATATGTACTGGTCAGCAAGGGCTGCAGGAGGCGACGAGAAGCTGCTCATCGACATCTGGCTCAGCATGCACAACCATGTCATCAACAAACACTCGGGGCACGAAGGAACCTATGGAAGGTGCCTCCATGGTGACATGCCAGAGCCAACACGACCATGGATGGATCCCAGTATGTTTTTGTTCTTCCAAATGAAGGTGGTTTTTCTAAAACTTGTATCATCCTCAGACTCGCAGGCCTACAACCAATTCAAGAGCATCACTGGCAACAAACTGCTCCTGAAGGACCTTGCACAGATGTCTCCACATGGCCAGACATATGCTTTGGAGGCGTTCCACAGCGTCCTGATAGACTTCGCCCCGAAGTCCCAGGCTTTCAGCCCAGAAGGCATGCTTGCAAAGTAAGTCAACCAATTTACAATCACATTTCCTTTGTTTGGACACTTTCATCCAGTCCATTGGTTACAATGCGACAAACCTGACAGTCTCTTCCTAATGATCAGATAATGGAATTGGATTGATGCCAGAATAACCACTCTTTGTAAGTGGCACACTTTACCATCACTGAAATGTAACCATCTTGCAGGACTCGACTTGCAATCCTCCATTTCAACGAAAACTCAAACCGCTGCCAAGCCGTCACACGAGAGGGCAAGCCACGTTGGTCGGTCGTAACATCAAAAGCACGAAAGGGCCACCACACAGCACGACCAGAGATTACGGATCCCACTTACAGTGAGTATAACACTAACTGCAGTGTGAATGCCTTGTCCAGAGAGCCTAGGAATGTTATCATGCAAAGGTTTGAATTCTAGAGTATGTTGGAAAGCTCATCAAGGAGGCAATGGAGAGCAGCAAACAGTGGCGGTCCCTGGCTGCTGCATCGAGGGCCAACACCGTCGTCTTCCCGGCACCGATGACTGCAGCCTACACAAGGCCTCCAAAAGAGGAACTCGTGGCAGCACGAATGTCCAGGTTCGGCCACAGTCCCCAGTAACGGCATCAAATCCCTGGTCGGGACTTCCATGCTGCCGCAGGTAAGCACACAGGACCTTGGTCCTAATCAGGGTGCAGGATAAGCAGGTGGGGAAACGGCCCATAGAAGCCTACCGCAGCGCCGTGACCGGATTGTGTACTCGTCTGCTTGCGGGTACCCCCGATTTGCAACAGATGGCGCTGCGGCGAGAGGAAAAAAATCGGAATCGGATTTGCATGGAACTTTATGGGAGAGTGCGCAAAATAAACAGAGAGCACGACAGTCTTTATTGAAAATCCACGAGAAACCATCTCCGTCAGTTTAGCCAGTCGCCCACCTGGAGTGAGAGTTTGCGGTGCTCCACATCGATGGCGCCACAGAAAAAAAGAAAACCGAGGGGTACACAATCCGGTCGCTCATTTGGCTCTCGTTTCCCCACCTGTCTATCTTACACCCTGGTCCTAATACAGCCTTGCATGGTAAGCAACCGCTTTGTTTTGCAGGACGTACGGCGAATGCAAGCAGACAGACCCAAGAGAAAACAGCCGAGCTGCAAAATGGTTCACCATTTTCCATTAGGACACCCTGACCGACAGTAAGGAGGAAGTTAGATCTGTCTGCAATCATTTTTCACAGAAATGCAGATCTCTCCTCATGAGAATGTTCCATTTTAGGGCCTAATCAAGCTGGTCATGGCATGCCTATCTCGAAACAGGGCAAGGAACTTTAGCCGGTGGCAATGTCGGAGTCACAGAAAAGTCACCAAACAGCGAGACTCAAGGCTACAGCTCAACTTGCGGTGAGGACGACACTAACTTCAGTGTGAACGCCCATCTAGCCCAACTTGGAATGTCTAGGAATGTAATTATGCAACCGTCTGAATTGTCACTGTGGGTTGGAAAGTCTGTCAACGAGGCGGACAGCAGCAGGCAGCAAAGACCTGGTTGGATCTTTCATGCTGCCAGTGGTAAGCACACAGGAGCCTCGTCCTAATGAAAACTACCATGGTAGGCAATAACCGCTTTGTTTTGCAGAACATACGGCGAATGCAAGCAGACAGACCCAGGAGAAAACAGCCGAGCTGCAAAATGGATCATCGTTTTCCGTTAGGACACCCTGACCGACAGTAAGGAGGACATTAGATCTGTCCGCAATCATTTTTCATAGAAATACAGATCTCTCCTCATGAGAATGTTCCATTTTAGGGCCTAATCAAGCTGGTCATGGCATGCCTATCTCAAAAGAGGGCAAGTAACTTTAGCCGGTGGCAATGTCGAAGTCACAGAAAAGTCACAAAACAGCGAGATTCAAGGCTACAGCTCAACTTGCGGTGAGGACGACACTAACTTCAGTGTGAACGCCCATCTAGCCCAACTTGGAATGTCTAGGAATGTAATTATGCAACAGTCTGAATTTTCACTGTAGGTTGGAAAGTCTGTCAACGAGGCGGACAGCAGCAGGGAGCAAAGACCTGGTTGGATCTTTCATGCTGCCAGTGGTAAGCACACAGGAGCCTCGTCCTAATGAAAACTACCATGGTAGGCAATAACCGCTTTGTTTTGCAGAACGTACGGCGAATGCAAGCAGACAGACCCAAGAGAAAACAGCCGAGCTGCAAAATGGATCATCGTTTTCCGTTAGGACACCCTGACCGACAGTAAGGAGGACATTAGATCTGTCCGCAATCATTTTTCACAGAAATACAGATCTCTCCTCATGAGAATGTTCCATTTTAGGGCCTAATCAAGCTGGTCATGGCATGCCTATCTCAAAAGAGGGCAAGTAACTTTAGCCGGTGGCAATGTCGAAGTACAGAAAAGTCACAAAACAGCGAGATTCAAGGCTACAGCTCAACTTGCGGTGAGGACGACACTAACTTCAGTGTGAACGCCCATCTAGCCCAACTTGGAATGTCTAGGAATGTAATTATGCAACAGTCTGAATTTTCACTGTAGGTTGGAAAGTCTGTCAACGAGGCGGACAGCAGCAGGGAGCAAAGACCTGGTTGGATCTTTCATGCTGCCAGTGGTAAGCACACAGGAGCCTCGTCCTAATGAAAACTACCATGGTAGGCAATAACCGCTTTGTTTTGCAGAACGTACGGCGAATGCAAGCAGACAGACCCAAGAGAAAACAGCCGAGCTGCAAAATGGATCATCGTTTTCCGTTAGGACACCCTGACCGACAGTAAGGAGGACATTAGATATGTCTGCAATCATTTTTCACAGAAATACAGATCTCTCCTCATGAGAATGTTCCATTTTAGGGCCTAATCAAGCTGGTCATGGCATGCCTATCTCAAAAGAGGGCAAGGAACTTTAGCCGGTGGCAATGTCGGACTCACAGAAAAGTCACCAAACAGCGAGACTCAAGGCTACAGCTCAACTTGCGGTGAGGACGACACTAACTTCAGTGTGAACGCCCATCTAGCCCAACTTGGAATGTCTAGGAATGTAATTATGCAAGTCTGAATTTTCACTGTTGGCTGGAAAGTCTGTCAACGAGGTGGACAGCAGCAGGAAGCAAAGACCTGGTTCTATCTTTCATGCTGCCAGTGGTAAGCACACAGGAGCCTCGTCCTAATGAAAACTACCATGGTAGGCAATAACCGCTTTGTTTTGCAGAACGTACGGCGAATGCAAGCAGACAGACCCAAGAGAAAACAGCCGAGCTGCAAAATAGATCATTGTTTTCCGTTAGGACACCCTGACCGACAGTAAGGAGGACATTAGATCTGTCTGCAATCATTTTTCACAGAAATGCAGATCTCCTCTATTGATAATGCTTGATTTTAGGGCCACGATCAAGCGTAATGGAGAGATGCAAGCATTGGCACCTGCCCTCTCAAGCCGGATTTTTCAAGCCCAGCATGGTGCACCTCTATTGTTGGCACATCAGTGCCAACAGTAGAGGCATTAGGAGATGAGGACAGGCCAGTGCTATAATTCTTCCCAGTCCATTAGCTGTAATTAGGGTTCTGCGTTCTCAGATAAACCTGATAAACTCCAAAAAACACTAGCCGTTAAAATTTTGCTGATTCAGATTCATTTGAAAAACTCAATTTTTCGGTCCCCCACCAGTCTTTATATTTCCCGGAATCTTCGAACAATTTTTGCAATTCTCCTCTTATTGCAGTGTCAACTTCCGTTGCCATGTAGCCCCTTATAATAAAAATGAGGTAGGCCCTCTACGACAGTAGATGAATACGGCGCTCTCATATGAAAATACTGCTTTACTAAATTCACAAAGTGCTGTTTTCTACCTTTCATTTGCCTCATCGAAAATGCCGAAAGACTCCGAACTTTGCGTACATAAATGGAAGCTCCAAATTGATGGTTCAAAAAAACAAAACAAAAAAAAACACCCTCTAATTTTGCTAAAAAAAAAATTAAATTCAAGAACGCAGGATCCTAGCTATAATTTGTGCAAGCTTTCAAGATCGAGGAAATCGGTGACCGTATTGTCATATTCATTGTGGGCACACCACAATGAAGGCGGATCAAGTGCTATTTTGAATAGCATGTAGTTCTGCACCAGAGATCCCATCCCCAGTTCACAAGCTTAGCCCATCGCAGCAGTTTTAGAAAATTGAAGTATTTTCGGAACCCAACCGACACTTTTCTGAAGACTGTAACACAATGCCTTATCCATCTTTCTTTTCATGTGCTGATGAGCGGACATGCTGTGGAGACTGCACCGAGGCGGGGCAGCCCGCCCGTGTTTCCAATAAATGGGGTTTTCATCCAGGAGGTAGGCTGGTAATGCAGCAATAACAAAAGTGGGGTGGTTGCATATAACACTGGAAATATTAACAGAAGTTTTTTATGGCAATTTAAAAACAGTGCTGCATTTTCCAGTCTACACCACGGTTTTCCCCCCGTCTGCAACATTTGTCTTCTGTCATTATTGACCTGCTTGCAAATAAGTGAGGCACATTCGCTAACCTTACGATTGAAATAAACTGCATTAATTTTCCAACAACTTGACTTCTCGGTACCAGAACCTGGAAGGTGTAGAAATTTGCATGACCAAAAGGAAATAATTTCATAATTGAAAACAAGTGATGCCGATGGTAGTACTAATTTTGTGATCCCCTGGATGATTTCTGCATTGTGAGGTCAATACATGGGTCGATGTAACTAGAATACTGCACTATGCCTAACTAAAAACCCGACCGAAATTGTGCCATTTCCTCAAAGTATTTGCATGATGTGAGGGTATACTTGCCAATTATAACGACAATATAAACTAACAATCGTAGTATTCACTGAAATATATAAGCAGATCCTATTTACCACCGGGAGGAAAAATCCAGGGTAACTGGGCTGTGGAGGCATAGAATATTCCATGCAGGGGATCTATTGTGCATGCTCAAAAAGCATTCCACAGCCAAGTAAAAAAAGGATTTCGCAGAAGGCTTGGACTGGAAAAGTCTATACTAGAGCACATGTTGAGAGTACAGTAATGAAATGTAGGTTGGCAATGAATTCTAAATAAAAAAAGTAATACAATTTACAGCATGCCTATAGTCGGTGACAGGTCAAGAACGAAGTGGAAGCTCCTCCCACCTCTTTCCACTTTAGTAGAGTGAATGCTGGAGAGGAGGCGACCTCCTCTCCGTCGTTCGCTGCATTGAAGTGGACTATAGTCACCCAAGCAGAACGTCATTTGTTTGTCATGTTAGCCACGTCGTCATCCAGACCCTCGGAACAATCGACCACGTCCCTCTGAAAACTGCAGCAATCGCAATTCGCCTTTCTTCGCCTCATCGCACCGGCACGCTCAGACGGCTGATGTAGGGAAGCATCTTGTAGCTTCATGCAGTCAGATTTTTCCATGTTATATGCAGTTTTTCCATTTGAAAGAACAGATCCAGAAGAAAGTAGAAGTACACTGCACAACACTGTTAGTGCGAACATGACATCGGTGCTTTTTCTATCTTTACTTTAAAATGGTATTAGTGGGTGCCAAATTTTACTGCTTAGGTTAGTGTTCCAAATGAGCACTTCTCACGCCCTAGTAGTTTTGATGACAGCCTTTGGATTCTAGGAGGAAAATGAAGCAATCCGGTCGTGCGACTCAAATCAAATTTGGGGGTTTTACGTGCCAAACCAACGACGGGCATCTGGCACGCCCCAGCGGAGGACCGAGGATTAATTTCGACCACCTGGGGATCTTTTGACGTGCAATCGAAAGCTCGATTACCAAGCTGCCTTCTCCGCAATATACCTCCATCAGATTGCAGGCACCTCGGCCGGGATTCGAACCCGCCACATGGGGATCCGTAGGCCGGCACTCTCGCCTCGGAGCCACCGAGGCGGCTTCGTCGTGTGACTGAATGTGACGTAGGTGCACTGGCTTTGGTTTGACTACGATCATGTGATCATAGTTATGGTCACGTGATATCGTAGATAATAGGTCACGTGATTTAGAGGATTCCGTTCATGGCTACGAGCGACTTCACACACATGCAGGGAGGGTGAAGAGACAAGGGAAGGGGGTTGCGTGGTCTCTAGGTCAACGCAATTTATTCTGCATCCTTGTAGCCCGCATACACGTCAGCAGGGTACCTGCCCCTAATTGTCTTGACCACACAGGATGGCAGGGGCCGCCTATTCTTCTTTCCCAAGCGGCTCCACAGCCACAGGGCACACTGCCTGTAGGCTGCAAATCTGTAGTGCCTGGAACAATGACAGAGATTGGATGTAAGAAGCAAAGCCTATCACTCTGTTGGCAAATTCTACACTTGTTTTCATTTCTCTAGGCATGTAATCATACTCTGCTTTTCTGTTACGTCCACTCCAGCTATCACATAGCAGAATCCCTATTTGGCAGTCCATGTTGGATGGGCTAGACATGGAAGCCAAATTGAAGTGAACTGCTGTAGATTCATTCTAAATGCTCCAGAGTTTAAAAAAAAAAAAAAAAAAACTATAGGCCTTGGTTCTCCTAACGCACCTCCAACTCCAATCGACACAACAACCAGTTATACACCGGAATTAACAAGGAAGGAATATCTGTTGCGTGGTCATGATACATAAAATAAGTTCACAGGGTCCCAGTTCACAATTGTAGATAATATCTGTCATTGGTGTTGGTGACGAATATTGCATCGCTGTGTTTTGGGAAGGACACATGAAAATTATGTGCACTGGCCAGAGGGAATGGGAGCCATTCATCCAGAACAGTGGAAAGCTCCCCATATGATGTTGTTTAATTTGGGACAAAACAGTGCAGTTCGTAAGCCTGTAAAGCAGTGGTGTGCAAATATTGGTTCGAATCAAATAGTGCACTGTCGTTTCTAGCATCAACAGCGCAAAAAGAGCCGGTTGCATCGGCTTCCCTTTGCAGCGCAAAGGTTATGGCAAACATACTATTCAATTTGAACCAATATTCGCACACACCTACTGCAAAGGTTTCCTGCACACAAGTGCCAGGGAATGTGAACTCATCAGAGAACGTCCCAATTTAACATTGTCTAAAGTGCTGCTGGCACTGCCGAAGCTTGGCATTGGTACTGGTGATTAGGGATTTGAGAATAGCAGCCTGGCCATGAGTGTTCTATGAAGCTCGCACAGAACAGTTTTGGTGTAAACATACGAGCTGAAGTGCTCATGCAATACTGGAGTGGCTCCAGCAGTTGTGATTTCATGTCTCTCCGACACAATCCGTGTCAATATCCGAACATGTCATTCTGACAGCTTCCATTTGCCATGACAGCTGCTACCACCCCCATGTGTTTATTGGTCCTGAATACCTTAGGGCTCAGGGCACCGCAATCATTTGCTATTTGGTCATATACGCATCTGCAAGACACATATATCAACATTTTTTCCCGTTTTAGACTGCGATATGTCTTCCATTATGCTGTGTTGATTTAGAGGTGACACTACTATCATCAGAGTAGTGGGGATACATATGAGCACCCCCAGGCCTCCCCATTCTTGCACGAGAAACTTTGAATTTCAGTGTTTATTTCAATGAATAGTGTTGTTAGAAAAATATTTTAACGAAAAATGATGCGATACTGTTTGGTGACCTATTCCAATCTCGAATCCTTTCTGTCATACTCACCCATGTGGGCACTGCAACATCATCCGTTAAAAAAAAAGCATGGATCTCGACGACGACAGCCTGCTTCTGAATAAGCTGTCCAGACATGGCACTCCTAAAAAACTATCCCAGCATAGCGTGCAAAGAATGCCACACCAGCGGTGCAAGTGTTGCTGGCACCACAAGGAACATGTCGAGATGATCATCCACCGGCTTCAGGGTGTCTGGTATCTGCATCCAAAAATAGTGTAAATCAAGACCCAGACACCCAATAATTATCACCCCACCTTGAGATTTTGGCTTTTCAACTAGATCAGGGGATTAAGGGATCGAAGCTAGGAAGGATTGGAGGGCAGGACGCCTTGACATGTCTCTGACTGGGGTGTTTACTGCCCTATATACCTCCCATGGACCAAAAGCCGTCCCAAAGTGGCAACAAAATATGTTACGGGAGCCAAAGTGTCATGCTGTCAGATGCCGGCAAAGTTACGACAGAGAAAACGAGCAGATGCAAGTGTGGCTGTTGTGGCGTCCCCCCTTGTGACAATCAAGTGAGCACAAACTATTGTGCAGCTCTTGGCACAGCAAATTAGGCAGCTGCCATACGCACATGGACTCTTCTGGCACCGCCAAAATTCTTGACGTGGCAGATTTTTATAAAAAAAGTAAGCAAACGTAAAACAACGCATTGCAAGCGTCCCGGCTGGTGCCTTTGTTGCAATGATGTTCACATGCACGTAAGGGCAACTTCGGCAGGCTTGCAGTTACACGTGCTTCGTCGCGCGGGCGGAGACAACGGCTGTTCGACCGAAACCGAAACCATGCCACTCCGCGCTCCGTCGCCAACTGCATGGTTCCCAAAATAGTATGCAAAATGTAACTGTCCAGCATACGACAATAAACAGTCCAGCGACTTGTGCTTGCCAGGCCGGCAGGCGAGGTACAGGCTAAACACACAGAAAAAAAGAACCTGAGCGTATCGATGCAAGACACTGCGAATCAAGGTCAAAAAAGTTCTTGGAGCGCTTCGTGCAACGACTGAACTCGAGACAAACAAGCACGCTGTGCGGGTTCAGCGTGCAGACATTGCCTTCTTTGCTTTAGCTCACTTCTCTTCACCAACTTTCTTTTGCGGCAGATTTTTCACGTACCGGGGTCCCTCTCGAAAGAAAGCCCACCAGGAAAAACCTAAGTAATCAAAACTTTGCCAAGCAGTCATTGAGTTAGAGAGGGATTTTTATAGCAGCGTATGATTTAAACAAGAGCAGGAATGTCGATGCGTTTCAGTTTAGTAAGCGCCATATCTGCAGCGACGTGGGGACGGCAACACACGACGTCGCGCGAGCGCTTCAGCTCAAAAAGTAACTCCCGCCGCGCAAAAACGTGGTTTTGTCTCACAGCATGACGGCATGTTTGGCACCCGATACACTAACGTCTGAGAGTCCGCACACGCCCGTGTCTACCGCTAAAAAAAAAAAAAGACGCGAGACGAGATTCCTGAGACGACGAGTGCACGAAACGCGAGACGTGGGGAAAAATCATGCAAGACCAAATAGACGATTAATACAGGGTACTTTGTGTCGGGTGGCGTCTTGTGCGACCTAGCTTACGCATGCTCAATTACGGTTCTCAGTTTCGTTTCGTTTATGAAAGGCGACCAAAATTGCTTCTTTGGCGCAGGCTTGGCACGGATTAGCCATATTTCGGTGAAATGTAGCAGGATGTAGCAAAGTTAGCCCCTTGGTGCAGTTTGGCGCAATTGGCGCAGCAATCACATTCCTGCACTGTTTATAAGTGTGTCTCAGCCACGCCTGGACAGATGCCTCCGAGTCATCAATGTCCGCAAAGACATCCTCGCGTGGCTTTCTGAATACGGAGGGCATTATGCTCATTGACTGCATGTAACCGGCCACCACCATCAACATCGCCCCGTATGTGGCTACCCTCAGGTGATTGCGCGATTCACGAGAAGCTGCCAGGGAAAGGGGCGGCAGGTACGCTCTTGCAGCATGACAATGCCCATCCCTACATTCACCGTACTCCCTCAACCTAGCCCGCAGTGACCATCAGCCATTCAGCACCATGAAAAAAACCACCTATGAGGACCCTATTTCATGGACACTGGTGAACTCGAAGCGGCTGTCCAGGCGTGGGTGCGAAGCACTCCCAAAGAGTGGTCTCGGAACGGAAAGGCTGCCACACTACTAGAACCAGTGCGTTCGTCTCCAGGGGGACTACGTTGAGGAGGTCGACACACCTACCGACCCCTAAGTGGACAATATCTGCGGAAAAATAAATCGTAAATCAGTATGGTACGCCCCCCATATGGCTGCACTGCCTTGACAATTATAGTATGGGAAGGAGGAAATTTTTTTTTTTTTGAGTGCATGGCCTGCAGTGGCATAGCCAGAAATTTGTTTCAGGGGGGTGTTTTACATTGCTGGTGTGTGTGTGTGGGGGGGGGGGAGGGGGGATACTTTGCATCGCTGGGCGAATGGAAGGTTTCTAGTTCGCATTGCCATTGCATTGTAAACGGTGCACGAACCAGAGCAATGAGCCTTCAATGACTGCCTTTTTGTGTAGTTTCTTGACCAAAAAGCATGCAAACACCGTCTAAAGCCCCTTCTGACAATTTGGATACTGGAGTAAAGAATATGACTTTTGCCGATAGGGTTGGAATATAAGTCTCCACTTGCCTTCTAGAGGAAAGACGTAGTGGCATCCATGGACTCAACAGCAATCTGTGCCTATGTCATCGTTCTCAAGTTTTTGATTGTTTTGACCAGAGAACATTGCACTCGCTTGGGACACCCAAAAATTGAAAGGATGCATTATCGAAATGCTGAAAGAACAAACCGCCGAAATCTCTATTAGCCGAATCACCCGGTACCAGAGACCAAACAATTCCAAAATATTATGTTCAACACGAACCTACAGGGTTCTAGATTGAGAAAGTGGAAGAAACATTTGTTCTGCCAGAGGAATTCTTTGTTTGTTGAATATGATCTAATAGTTTGTGTGTATTTCCCAAAGAAAGCTAAGGATGTTGAGCTTGTCCCAGTTGCCCAAAGCGGCTGTCAGGCTCTCTTCTCGCATGCTTTGCTTCTTGTGTGGTAGATGGCGAGGTTCTAATCTGATTTCTGCCTCGATATCGTCTTCGAGCGCAGCTTGCACATTTTTCATGCTCCTAATTTTGCAGAAGACACTTCCATGATTCCAACACACTGGTGCAGCTAGCATCCGCCAATACCGTACCAAATATGGCGATCAGATATGTACGCATTCTCACCTTTCGGCGTTTTGCTGTTCGGCATTTTATTTTTCGACGTTTCAATGTTTGGCCTTTACATTTTGATTTTCGTCATTTTGATATCGGCCCCTGTTTTGATGGGCTTGAAGGTCACACGCAGAGACTAGACCAGGTAAAAAAACGAGGATGTCTGAGCTGAAGGTGCCAACTGTACTGTCGACGTTGACAGTGCACTTGAAGCAGTTGGTGTTTGTTTCTTCTCAAAAAGATTGCCCAGCATCAACTTAGCTGGCATAGCTAAGCTCATTTTTAAGATAGCAACAAGGCATTGGTGCATGCAAGATAAAGTAGGTGTATGCAGTTTTCTGAACTCTTAGCTCTGAGAAACAAAGTGACTGGAGCATCCTTCCCCAACACGGTTGCGAATTACTGCGTCAATATGATAACTTCGTGCTTATTTATTTGTTGCTTCAAAAGTGTTGTTCTGTAGCATAGTGCTGGTCCAGTCCATGAAGCTAGCAGGAAAGAATCTGGAAACAGTAATTCTTCGTTTTTCCGAACTTGGGAAAATGCAAAAGCTACGGCATCAGCAAGCCAATCGGGGCGTGTAAGAACAATGCATGTGACAACGTAATGTCTTCAAGTACTCCTCCTGTGGAATTTTGGCACGTGCTTAGCTCCGTCGCTCAGACTGGCCCACAAGGGCAGTAGCTTTCACCCTTTGTTGAGTTATGCTAAGACAGAAAAGCAAGGAAACTGCATGAGACGAATACAATCTCGGGAGTGAGTTAATCTTCGCCTCTCGTTGACAAAGTAGGACTTTCAAGCCTTTGCGGCCACCTGCTCTCTGCGAGCTTGTAGAGGGGCTTCAGGCGCTAATTCGGCTCTGTTCAGAGACACCATTTGAGCAAGCTGCAAGCCAGACTTGGGTTTCTGACACGGACTGCGTTATCTTTGTCGTTTGCGCCAAAGCCAAACGTGTGGGATATCCACTGCTCTCTTGAGAGACAGAGAAAGAGAGAGAGAGGGAACCTTTATTAGTTACACCATAGTCCGGTGCTTGATTGGGGCCACCAGTGCTCACCCGGTACAGCATGGACATGCTGTACCAGTAGGAGCAGTAGTGTATCAACGAGTTGAAGCTGGGGGGGGGGGGGGGGGTGAGCCAGCCTGCCTAGTCAGAGGGTCGAGAAGGGTGAAAAAGAGGGAGGTAAGGGAGCATTGGGCATGGGGACAACGCCAAAGCATATGTACATCCAAGGTGTCGCCTTCTATTGCTCTCGACGAGACGAGGCCGTCTCGACTAGAGACGAGGCCATGTGACTGTCATATATTTCATAGTGCTATTGTTGCATAACATTGCATCTAAACAGAGCAAGAAAATGACATATCTAAACTGATAACCGTAAATGCAAGGAAAAATAGCTCTCCATGATCTGGCCTAACGGAAAGAAGTGTAACGCTCGAAAAGGGCGGTCTCGTCAGAACAGTTCGTTTAGAACATATAAGAATATGTGTAGTTTATAGTGGGACAGCAGTTGGAAGTGTCCGTGTTTCTGTATTGAACAAATGACTGGGTGGTAACTAGGCAGGCTGCTTCTCATTTAGTCTCTTGAAAGCCTCCCTGGAGCGCTATATTGCGCCTGGACAGTGGGGGTTATGATTAATTTCACTATCGGCAACACAAACAATTCATCGACCGCTTCCCAGGATGGTGCTAAACGTTCATCTAGCCTAACAACAAGTTATTACAAGTACGTATGTACGCTGTGAATCGGACAGTGAACGTAGTTGCCGAGGGCACGGTCCTCACCGAGACATGGTGAGTTTGCTCACGCGCAAAGCATGACATCGTACTCACTCGCTGGCACTTGCGCCCATCCCTTGCTGCCCGTAGTGCCGCATGTTGAGGTAGGCCAACCTCAACACCTCAGGGTTGAGGCACAGGGCCTCGAAGTCCGGGTGGCCCGTTACGCAGCCCTGCCGGCCCTGCTGCTTCCGTGCGACGGCCGGGTATTCGCGGCAGCAGACGCACTCGACGACGGTCTCCATCGGCGCGCAGGAACCACATAGACACCTTCGCAGAAAACACGCATCAATTACCCATTAAAGCGGGGTATAATGGAGCGCACCACGTACCAGTCCGTGTTCCCAAGCCGCCCGGTTCCATCGTCGGGTGCGTCTTCCAGCTCTTGCGGACTCGCTTCACCGCGGCGCGGCCGTTCGTCGTTGCCACAGTCGGTGCCCGCGGCGCTGCGTTCGTCGACGTCGCGCATCGGGGTCGAATCGTAGGATATGGCACCCATGTCAGCTGTCCGTTCCAGGATTTCGAGCTCTAGAGACGTTAGGTCCGAAAGGTCCATAGCGCGACCGTGGGATGCGACGAACGACGAATGCTGAGCACAAAGTCCGGGCAACTTTGGTCCGGGCCCTTGACGACGGTCCGCGCGTTGGAGAGATTCCTCCGCGGGTCGGCGGTCGGTGACGCGCAGTGACACTGGAATCCTTCGATTGCCATTGGCTGATGCGTAAAGAGATGCCCCTCCCGTTTTCCGGGGTCATCTCAGAAAGGGGGGCGTGCCGGGGACTTTGATAGCAATTTTAATAGGGAAATCCGCCGCGCATGACTGTAATTTTACGATTTTTAGGATCCTTAGGACCCATAGATTGAGTTACCGCCATATATAGACCATCGCAGAACGCTCCGGAGGGCCCCTTTAAGTTTGAGATTATTTGTGCTATTTTTCACGAGGATTTCAGTGTAGCTTAATTATTTCGAAGTGTTAATATTACGCCCGAATAGACAATTTGCTAAATCCCCCAAGCGCCTCGGCCCGTACTCGCAAAATCATGGGGGCGGTGTTTTTTCAGCTGCCTAGTGGTCAGAAGTTTCGACCAATTTATGGTTACACAGTTTGAGTGTAATTCGGAGTTACCCTGAACAAGTGTCACATAGAACCCAAGTACCTGTCATATCACTTTTAATATTTCTCGCCAATGTCAGTACTCTGCATTCTGTCCAACCTTCAACCGGGATAAGCTGCAGACATATCTCTCACATTATTATCATTCTCGTACAGCTTCAAAGACACAGATATTAAGTTAGAAACGCTAAAAAATGCTATAAACAGCTCCGCTGAATCCGAGCTTAATCCCGGTTTTGGTTGTTGTGATTTCTCAGCTTTTAAGTAATTCCTGCTAAACAACAATCACGAGAATGATAATATTGTAAGAGATATCTGCGGCTCAGCCAGGCTGGAAGGTGGATCGCATGCACAGTACCAGAAACGCAGCCATTCACGAGAAAGTTTAAAAGTGATATGACAGGTCCTTGAGTCCTATGGGACGCTTGTTCAGGGTGATTACGAATTACACTCGAAACTGTGCAACCATGGAATCGGTCAAAATTAGCGATCGCTAGGGAGCTGAAGGATTACCATTCCCATAATTCCTAGAGTGCGGGCCTGGGCACTTGGGAGAATTGTAGACAATAAAAAGATATAAAGTGCTGATTTCAGGCATGTGTTCATTTGATATGCCTGGCCAGATCTTGAATTTTCATACTTAGACCCATCTGAGATTTCCAGACCTGGCCACGGATATCACACTATATATGGCATTATGAGGCTATATCTGGCAGATATACCATATCAGGTTATATGTGGCCAATTTTTGATATGGCCATATCTGAAATCTTCAGATCTGGCCAGATATAAATTTTCTTGTAAGGGCTTCGTCTTGTCTACTCCCTTGTCCCAGTTTATTCCGCGCTCTTTGTTTAGCACGTGCGACTATTTGTACCAAAGTGACGTACAATAACACGCTCCCCTCTTACTCAGACAGCTGAAATGCTCTCTGCTTAATACACCCTAATTGGCTCCAAAAGGCCATGAAATTTTTGTCCGGTGTGTTACTCGGTTTAATACGAAACGGGGGCCAATGCGGACTCTATGGTGCGCGCTCGCGCCTTTAACGTTTATTCAGTCCATCTTCTCCGCAATGACACCTTATTGCGGCTGTGACGCCAGACCGCAACTGCTGCTGTGTTCCACCTTATGGGTGGAGTAAGTGTTTGCAGTTTTTTTTAAAGAAAAAGGCGAATACATGAGCATGCTTGGTATAGTTCCAGAGGGGTCATCTATGGTTTTCTATTTTACGTAATCTTCCTCGTAAACTGAAATATATTTCCCGTGAATTTGACAAGATTACACAGTCGTGGTGTTTATCGTGTGTTCAAAACTTGCAATGTTTACACCTCTTTTTTAATTACTTCTCCTTCTCCTCATTAAACCTTTTCTTTAATATTCATATTCCTCCGCACCTGCAAAGAGGAGCCAACTGGGCCAATAAACCCTTTTCAAGGGTTCATCAACCAACATTGGCGGTTGCCATTTTTGCGGCTAGGTGGCGCAAGCTGCCGCCCGATATAACGTTTCAGCCGTTAGCACCCATCCATGCATGGGGCACGAAGCGTGTGATTGGATCCGACTCCTCGGTGAACGCTGACGCAGCACTCGTTTTCGATACGAGCTAAGCCGAGTTCATGCCGAGCGATGACGCTATCCTCGCGTCCAATATATGCTCAGAGTACGTGGTCAAACGATGGCAGGCTCGGAAAATCAGCGCAGCAGTTACTAGATGGCGCGCAATGGTGAAAAGAGGGAGAAATAAGCCTGTTACACGGGTTTATCATTGCAAACGTTTCAACAGCACGAATCTTTGCGTGGTGCACGTTAAACACCCCAGGCTAGCGGTTGTACTGCACTGGCTAAATTTCTTATCTACAGCTGGGAGACTCGTCGCCCGTTGAGGCAGACCAAGGTCTAGGCTGTATAAACATACACACAACCTAATTATTACAACATTAACCTAGGTTAAGATCTCTGCCCTCCTGTTCTGTCCTTCTTCTTCGTTTTAAACTGACACCGGCTCTTTTCGTCCATTGGTTGCAGGTCACGTCGTTCGTCTTTTTCGCTGTGTCCTTCGCGCTGGTCATCGTCACGGGCATACGCACAGCCAATTGGCGGAAAGACAATGGTCCGGGCAACCAGGTTGCCCTCTCCGCGGACCACTACTCTGGACGGTTGGACTCGAGTAAGTCAAAGACGAAAACAACTGCTCCTTCACAATATCCGTGTCTTACGGGTCGCATATTAAAACCGTGGGATCCTCTTCGGCAACACGGGTGGGAGGTATTGAAGCCGGATACAGTATAGTTAACATGAACCCTTTTTGATATGAATACCTCGCCATAAGGACACCCCTTTCGGAGATAGACGGAAAATGCATGCATTTGTGTTTGGTTATTATGGACATCGGATAATACGGGGGATATCTGGGGGGGAATGGAGGTGTCCATAATAATGAATTATGGGTACATCGAAGAGCCTTGCCCTATACGGCTAAGTTTGTTTTTGGGTGCTTGGGGATAAAATAAAAGGCTTTGCCGTTATAGTTGCAATATATACCTTTTTATTAAATTAAATAGCCGCTGCGTAGAAAATTTACGAAATGCACGCTTCGTCGTTGCAAATCTTTCTTTCCTTTTAATCCTGCCCAAAGGAACATGTGCGAGGGCCGTCGTTGCCTTATATCTTATTATTGAGCGCTATTCCGTTTAACATTGAGTTGGATTGCTCTTGAACCGTCGTTCCTTTTTTCTTCCCAGGTATGTACGCTTTCTTCTTCCAACTTCTCTTCGTAACTCTCTTCATGGCCATCGGGCACCTCACGCTCCTCTACGGACTCCGCAGGGCAAGTGTCATTTCACGATCGTGCTAATCAATGGAAATAGTGATTTGGAAAGTTTGTTCACCGGGTGACGCCTGCGTCGACTTTCCAGGAATCCAAAAGGGTGGTGTTGATTGGCACGGTGACTCGGGTAGCCGGCGGATGCTTCGTCTTCGCCGCACTCGGCATGGTCTTTCACAGCGTTACAGTGGTGGGTTCTTCGCGTTCTTTCAATAGTGTTGTCGTCGTTTAAAAAGCCTCCTTCCAAAGCGTCGTTTTATAAAGCTTCTCAATAGAGCTTTGTTCTGGAGCTTCGCCCCACAGTCGCCCTGATGATCGTTCTTCATACAAATGACACGGTGTACCCCGCAGCCACGATGGCAGGATTATCTGCAGAAAGGAGCGAGCAAGACCTAAAACATGTTTCCCGCGTACATATGTATGCTTAGAAGATGTATGCAGGCAGTGTATACATCAGCAATCTGACATGACCGACATACAAGAAAGACATCAGACGTTGTCTCTGCAGACTGTCTTTAAGATGATCGATTAACAGTGAGACAGCGGCTTCAAGCTTCACTCTAAGGCTTTGCTAAAAAATGGCTTCTAAATTTGCTTTTTTTATCTTCAATTTAAAGGATGGTACACACATTTACGTTTGACTGTGCCGAGTTTTTTTGTGTTGTGATCACTTGTATAACAGCTGGCACGTTGGCTCCATCTATGTCACCCCCCCCCCCCCCCCCCTGGCACGCTGACCTGCGACTACATTTTATAAATATATATATATATATATATATATATATATATATATGTATATATGTATATATATAGAATTTTCGCGCCAATCGATTTTTGCCGCGGGTTTGAATTTCGACAATGTTATAAGCAAGTATTCGTCCTTAATCTTATCTAGATCTGGTCTCGCAAATACTGCTAAACCTCCAGTGTGGTTATAGGCAAGCTAGAAGTCTTTCGAGTCTGCCCGGTGGATGGCGACACTGTACCACCAACGGTTACAAAAGGTCGCAACACGGTCGGCACACACACACTCGCCGCAGTCAAACGCGAGCGTGTGCACCTGCATTAAAAAGGTTTTCGAAGTGCCGATCGAACGCTTTGTTTGATACCTTCCCTTTCAAGATTCGTTTTAAATCTTAGTTCTATGGGTTAATTTAACAACTTTGCTATAAAGCTTCTTTCTATAAAAAAAAAACAAAAAAAAAAAAACATGCAAGGCCCAAGTATTTTGTGTACTTTGCTGCACATCAATGACTTTGCTTAAATGTAGAGCCAACAAACCCATACAAATCAATTTAATGGCGTACTCTCATAAGCTTGCCATTCAGAACTGTGGGAACTGACAAGAAAAAAATATCGCTTATGCCCCCCCCCCCCCCCCCCCCCAGGTTTTGTTTTACTTTACCAAATGGAGATCCAATTTTAAAGCGTTCGTTTTTTTGTTTTTTTTTTACTTTTTTAGTTTTTTATTAAGACATGTAGTAAAACCTAACGAACTCGAATAATCATATGGTATGCGTTTGGACGGCAATACTGGGGATGTGTTCATCATGAATACGTTTTGTTTACACTTGTAATCGGTGATTAAACTTGGCTGTATTTATTTATTTTTTTTTTTTTGGGGGGGGGGGGGGTTTTTGGCACCAAATAGTTTACTACACTACATTTTATAGTGTACCCCTAATACCTAGCAACATAAAATAGTCTAACTTACAATCATTTCTTCTTTATTCCATTTTCAGTTATGGATGGACTACAACGTGAGTAACAACTTTTTTACCAGTCGTCAGTTTCCGAGTTATGAACCGAACGGCCGGTTTATGCGCCCTCTATTTTGTTGGTCGACCGAATCCTTACGATGCATGTGCAATACAGGCCTTAATGATTGTCTTGCAGAACAATCCGGGACCTAATGCATCGGTGAGTACGTCGTCCCTGTATATGCACTCTTTATTCGTCGGAGTCGTCGAAACATTGAAGAACTCTGTTTCTCCTGAAACGTCCGATGTTTGCTTCAATGCAGTACTCGCTACTCGTTGCCTTGCTGATCGTCCTGCCCCTCATCATCCTCGCTGTTATCCCGATCGAGGTGAGCCGATTACTCCTCAATCTGGACTATAGCGTGCCCACATTAAACGTTGTTTCGAACTGCTCGAGATCGCTGTCACATGGTTTGTTGGCCGCGTTTGCAATACCAGCTGCGAGTAGATGACGAACGCGTTCATCGTCTGCAAGTGTCGCCGCCTCGGAGCCCCCCTTTCTCATTGTCGCGCGACAACGACAGCACGTGCGCACTTGCGACCAATCTGCCTAGGAGGCAGCGTTACTGGAACAACTCAGTTGGGAAACTACCATAGAACCTGCTTTGAAAAAGTGGCTTCGATCCGTACTCGAACCGAACTAATGGCGACCGAAACGCCGCCATTTGTCCCGCAGCGGCCACTCCGGGAACTGCGCACGTCAGCCCGTATTGGTTCAGGTCGGGTCGCGCAAGGGCTGGTGGCGCCATCTCGCAGCGCCATTACGCTGTAGCAATATAAATTAACTTTCATGTTTTGACTGATAGCTAAAGGGTGGCGCTGTTATCGTATATAGTTTGGTCTCGCTGGACGCGAGCGGTCCGGGATTCCAGAGTGAGTTTCCCAGCTGATTGATTTAGTAACGTTGCCAGCAGGTGTCCGTCATTCAATTGCAACGATCTCCATGGCTTGAGTTGCCCTATTTCTTAAATATAAGCCCTCTAATCTGAAGTCCATAATCGGGACGAACAACAAACAGCTTTTCGGAGACTCGTCAAACATACCCTGTTTGCAACTTCTCTCTCTCTCTATCTCATTATTTTTCTCTCTCTTTTTTTACGGGATCGGGTTATTATATTTTGTATCACCTTAAGTCCCGACGTAGCCGACGCTGCGAGCTAATGGGACCAATAATACAGCGTTGAAAGCGCATCATCCTGGCGTTCGGCGTCATGTTTCTGAGCATGTTCTGTCATTGCTGCTTATATCCCGTGCCAAGATGGTTCCTTGAATTGTATTCTACGCTTCACACGAAGCACGGTTGTGCCGGTGACTCGCTTTCGGTTCTTGACGCAACGCCGTCAAACGCACTCAAACGCAAGTGTCTGAACCGGCCTTTATGCAACGAGATTGTAAGTCGCGCAGTGGTAAACAAAAAGAAAAAAAAAAAGCCGTTTAGTGAGGGACTAAAAGCTTTCGCTTGGAGTCGTGAATACCCTTTCTGCTCGCGCGACAACCACCCTGGATGTGCGCGCGCCAACCCCGCTGCATCTGCGCGCGAGCAGAGCACGAGACGATACGAGCTGTTTCGGAACCTGGAGCCTGCCTCTTGTGAGCTACAACTATGGCGGCGTCCCGCATGTATGGAACGCGTAAGATCGGTCTATTCCAGCGCAGCGAACGCACCACGTGACTACACTCCCCGCGCGTCGCTGCATGGGCCCTTACCGAATGTCACATCACACTAACACAGCCCTGGATTGGCTTAGATTGTTCGTAGCGTCGGCTGCGGTCCACCGTAAGATGAAACAGAGTATAGCTGCATGGACATAGAATAACTATTTGATCAACTTGTACTGTGGAAGATTGTTCTCGGTTAATAACAAATCTGTCATCGTTTCTTTTTTTTTTTTTTTGAGCGTACAAAAGGCGGGGTTTATTGGTGAGACCAGGTCCTAACTATTTCTATTTTGTTCCGCAGGTGTATCAGTGGTACGTGCTCTTGAGCCGCTACGACGCGATGGCCCCTACACTGCAGCGTGTTGATACTCAGATCTCCAACGACACGTCCTCCAGTCAGGTGTTGACTACACTGGAACGTTCTTCCGGGCCACGAGGGAGAAATGTGAGAAGAGAGAACTGCTTACCTTCACTTTATTGTCTCGAAGATACAGTCGTCCGAGTAAACAGTCGGTGGTCTGTTTCACCTTACGTGGACCGCAGAGGAGGCTAGGAGTCAACGAAGCCAAGCCCTTACCGTGTGTCAAGCGGAGGGCCCAGCAATGCAGGGGGGGGGGGGGGGGGGGGGCATGATACGTTTAGTGCGCTCCATTAGCTGGTATGTCTCTTAGCCTCCCTTGCGGTCCATCGTAGGGTCAAACAAAGTATAGAGACATGAAGCTAAAAAGAACCACGAAGACAGAGTTTAATTTTTAAACGTGCACGCGACAATACAACCCCAATATTTTGTGTGCCCTCCGACGTATAATTAAACCCTTAAACGAAGTATCACCGAATACTTTACTCTAGGAATACATCTTACTCTGCGAAATTCTAATGGCTCGGCGCCGAGAGCTTTTGCGTAGATGGTGCGGCTGGACGTGCGCATGCTTGCGGTTTTCCGCAAGCATGCGCTGTAGAAACGGCCGTAGAAACGCCTGGAGACAGCAGAGACAGCTCTCTTGGCGAATGCAGCACGCGTCGGCGGCAGCACTTGCCCTCAGCGCAGCGCAATAGCGCGAATGCGTGGACCAGCGCGATGCGAATGCATTCTCCTGGATTGGAGGGGGGAAGGGGGTGGGGGGGGGGGTAAATCTTTCGGGGAGGATTTGGCGCGAAAGGCACGCTCTCTACTGCAAATGAACTGAGTAGAGTGTACGCATAACTGAAGTTGTTTCTTTTTCCCCCTTACCTCCACCGCTGCAGGAGCCTCCCAAGTATAGTAAGCCGATTCATCCAAGAGGTGGAATACCAGCTTCCACTGGGAGAGGAAGGTACTGATCGACTGACAAGTCACAGACATTCCACGGTGTTAGTGATGACTGTAATCCTTTTGCGCTGCCTCGGGAGTGCACGCGGTACTCTTCATCTACACCACCCAGACAACAACGGCATAGTGCTGGACTTTCTACATCATTTACTGAAGGTCATCGCGAGTGTGCAGATTGAACTCGAGTGCTCAGTCAGATTTCGGCTGGGCCCGGTGTTCTCATATTGAACACAAGTCTGGGCCAAACGGTGACACGTACAGCGCTCGTTTCCAACTGGCGCGTCGCACTGGGCACCGGTTGGTCACCAGTTACAGGTACTTAGGGCTCCCGTTTTAGGTCTCCAGTATAGGTGACCTATAAAATACGGCACAAGGCCTTGTACTCTAGAAGTTTATTGTTGTCTCATCCCACCCAGTTTCTCTTCACCAGAGACAGAACTTGGAGACACATATTTTTTTCAAGCCTACCCTCATCTTGCAAGGCGATGATTGAAAATTCACTGATACCCTACCCAGCATTTTCCAAGTGCAGGGAGAAACGCGCACCGTTAGGCAGATCTTTATGAGAAAAAACATGGCGTCCTCCACGTGACTTCGCTGCGATGCACCACGGTTTGCTGCGCCGCCAACTACCGCGACGTGCACCACGAGATCTTTAGCCCTTCTGCACAGTGCGCAAAACAAGGCAACCTCGCAACTCCTGTGCCCGTGCTCTAGTGTGCCTATACCTCCACTCAGCTTATGTCCAGACGCAGCCGATGCTACATGCGCGAGTATGGGACCCTGAACGGTGCTTGCACTGCACAAGCACGCGTGCTTGGCAGGGACGCAAAAAAGCAGCCCGGAGCTCGCTCTTGTTGCTTCTGCTACGCTCACACTTGAAGTAAAACGGACTACAGACATGCCTAGGATTTCGATCGGGATCGCGTGGTTTATGGGCAGGGCTTGCAATGCAAGCTGCGAGGAGGAGGCGAACCCGTCGAGCGTCTGCCAAGCGTCTTCAAGCTTTTCTCGCCTCTCCTCCCGTTACTTCCTTGTCACGCCACAACTCATGCCTTCGCACGGGCAATCATTCTGCGCAGTGGGTGCCCGCCATTAAATTTCAAAATCTGTTTGTGATCTGACTGACTCCGCCTCTTAAATAAAGGCTCTTCTCTGTTGCCTGCAGCGCCTCCTGTTGCCTAAAGTTACGGTGGCTCCAACCATGCGCTAACCGCCTCGCGAAATCAGTCTAGCGCGGAAAGCTCTGTAACGTTTCATTATCAAGTTTTTACCTAACGGTCATCCTCATAATTTATAAACTTTTTCTCGAAAACTTAAAGGAGCTGTGCAACGATATTCAGTTGGAATGTTTTTACCTTTACTCAAGCTTACTGGCACTAGTGGGAGTCAAGGATACTCGCACGCAACTCCGCTGGCCAAGAAACTCCTCTGTTGCGGTGTAATTTCAAGGACAAAAGCGATCATTTTCATTCAATCTCTCCTTTGCGAAATTTCATGACGTAACGTGGGTATCGCAGTACACCCATATGACGATATTTGAATGCTGTTCATAGATTGTACCCGAGCATTGCGTGGGCGCTCGATTTGGGCTCGTGATAATTACTAGCTCGAGAAGCATTCGGGTAGTGGCCCGTGTCCAATCGCTGCAACGACGACAATAGCCGAGCCATAACAATATCTGGAACTCAGCGCGTGCCCTGTGCTTTGCCAACCCCAGCGCGTGGCTATGATCTACATTGGTGGCATATAATCGGCTCCAGATCACGTGGCCGCTTGTTCTGGCTGCGAGTTGAGGGGGTGAACGCTGCTCGTTTCTCTTTAATTTTTTTCTGGGACTTCTATTGCGTGGGGTGAAAAAAGAACGTGTGTTTCATAGGTCATTAATGTCAGGGATCAGTTCTAAGCGGTATTTGCGCAAAGTACCAAAGTTGTTGCATTGCCCCTTTAAACAAAATGAGCACAGTAGCTATAAATTCTTTGGAATTTCTGGTCTTACGTATGTCTTTAACAAATATCCACACTCGTCCCAACCTTTTCTTGAAGACCGGAAATGGTTCATCAAAGAAAATTGATCACAAGAACATACCGATTTGGTACGTCAGCAAAAGTGTCCAATGAATGAGACTGTTTGATGGCAAAACGGTGAATTGGGCTGGATGGGTTTTCACCTCAAACTAAACGTAAAAAAAAGAAAAGAAACAACAACAAGGACAAAGAGAGGTATATATAGACAACACGCCTAGTCTGGCCTATATCTTGCATTGTCCTTTTTTTTTTTTTTTTTGGCGTTCAGTTCGAGATTTTTTTTGTCTTTAATTTTGTAGAGTTGTGTGCAATTTACTTTAACGCCTTGATTGTATTGTGGAACTAATCGGATAATAAAGCGATACAAAGGCCGATGGATGTTTTAGAACCTGCACTAGTTGCCATACTATGGCGCATCTAATCTGCTTTTAAAATAACTCAACGGCATAGGCCTAGACTACGGGAAGGGGGGCATCGGGGCTCTTTCTGGCTGCGAGTTGAGGGGGTAAGAAAAGTTAATTTTTCTCTAATTCTTTCTACGACTGCCATTGCTTAGATAAAAATAAAAAAATAAGCAACGTGTGTTTCATAGATCATAAATATCAAGGAATACTTATAAGCGGTATTTTTTTGAAGTAGAGAAATTTTTGCATCGCCCCTCAATATCTTTTTGGAAGAGCCGAGAAGTCTTCTTCCTGGTACATACCAGAAGACGCCACAAAACTCGCGAGCATAGAAGCGGCCGCAGTTACACGGCAGACAACCTGATTATGCGGCAGTTTGCTTCAATTTTATGTTTAGCTGAAGCAAAAGCCAAATACTGATATCGTGATTACGTCAATGTCATATTGCCGCCCGCAGAGCCGAGAAGGCAACGCTTGGTCACGGTCTTCTAGAAGATTCCCGGTCATTCTCGCAGCAGACGTAACTTTCCCTCTGCTTTGTTATTCTCGAAAGTGCCAGTTCATCCTCGCCCCGAGCGCGCGACGCTCGAACCTTCTTTGCCGAACCTTCGAGATAATGACGCACGGTAGATAAGCAGCTGCCCGCGACCTTGTCGAGTCAGTCCCAGTCTCGCTAGCGCTCTGTAGTGTCGCCGAATCGCCGCCCGCTTTTCTGCTGCCCCGACGCTCTTTCGTTACTTATTTTTGTTTGGCACAAGTTCGCCAATTAAACCTTTACTTTCAGTTCACTGTTCGCCTTCTCGTCGCCTTAATTCGTGACAATATTAACGTTTGTGTGTATCGCCTATCAGTTTTTCGCTGTCTTGCAAATATAATTAAAAGTAGTAATGAGAAAGTTTAAGAGTTTTGGGGCCAAATTTGAGGGTTATTAGATTTTTTCTTGGAAAATTGTTAAGTAACAATCTGATCTTCAAGTGACACTTTAGTTTAACACTGATAGATTTTCGAGATTTTTAAGAATAACTTGGGAACTTTTAAGAATTCTTGAGAATTTTTTTAAGAATGCACTAAATCATTTGAGGTATAATACAGTACGTTACTTCGCCACCTTATTTTTTTAATTCCAGTGATTTGCACATTGTTCCAGAACACACAAAAAAAAACTTCTTATATCAAGAGAAGTCATCATCAAACTGCAGATTTCATCGGCATCGCACATTGGGTTTCTTGGTGGTTCAGGTTTCTTGCCTACAATGCAGCATTCGCTGCGTTCAATTTACCTGCACTTACTGCACCAGCTGAACTCGGTAAAGACCGCCGTATTTAATTTCCGAGCGCAGCATATCTCAAAACACAACCGGAAGTACATTGTCCTACACTTTTCTCCACCGCTCTACACTTTTCTGCACCGGTACAGGCTGGCCTAGGTAAATCGAATGAGCACAATTTAACAACACGTCACTTTTCACAATAAAGCGTTCATTGACATCCCGTGGCTTCCAAAGATGTTGACCACTTCCCTAGTGAAAAAAGTCATTTGTATGAGAAATTTCTCGTGTCCAATAAACACATATGAATCATACAAGATATATAAGAACATATAAGAATCATATAAGAAATACATAAGATATATTAGAACCATAAAAGAAACGCATAAGAAACCTCTCAAAAGTTTCTTAATGGTACTTGTATGTTCTTATATATCTTATATAGTCCTTATATAGTTCTTATATGTTCTTATAGATCTTGTATGATCATATCTGTTTATTGGACACGAGAAATTTCTTATACAAATAAGAATTTTTTAATAGGGTTGATGGCACACTTGAAGCAACAGCGAGCTTGCAAAAAAAGACACAGATCAACTCAGAAAACATCCATCATATTCTTCTTTTAATGAGTCCTGTAACTTCTGGCAGAAAACAAAACACGTCACAATTAACGGCACCTAATACGTCAGCTTTGACGTCACATGTAAACAAGGGCACCTCTCTTCTTATGTCAGCAGTGGTCGCAGCCACGTCACCGGGGATTTTACAGCACCGCATTTAGATTCTCACATTCAAACGGCATATTTTTGCAGACGCGTTTCGATATTTTCGCGCGGAAAGGTTGCATGAATAAATAACTACATTTCAGCGTGCCGATGACTTTGTAGCACACCATCGCCGTTATTTTCAAAGTAGCACAGTGGATGGTACCCATGCGTGTCCCGGTTGAGTAATGTGGATTCAGAGTTGCAAACTTTGTGGCAACCCTGGATTCAGCTTGGCAACACTGGGGTTGCCGTTTTGTGGAAAATGGTGGGCGAGCTAGACCCCCCTGGGACCCAGAGTAACATTCACTCTGGAAACACTAAGTTCGAATTGGCAAACCTGGGGCACAGGATTTCAAACATTGCGGCAACTCTGGGATTAACCAGGCAACTCTGAGATTTACGGCTGTTTACAATGTGGAAATTAGGTTTGGAGCTCGGCCACCTTAGAACCCAGGGTTTCAAACTTTCTTGAACCCTTTGATCTAACTTGGTAGCCCTGGGAAACACGACTGCAAACATTGTGCTAACTGTACATTCAAATTGGCGATCCTTGGACCCAGCGTTGCCAATTTTGTGACAACTCGGGGTGGAACTCGGCCGCCATGAGGCTCAGGGTTGGAAGCATCTTGGCGACTCTGGGTTCAGCTTTACAATCCTGGGACACAAAGTTGTAAACATTGCGATAGCCCTGGGTTCCACTTGGGAGCCCT